GGAGTTTTGACCTCATGCATGGGCTAAGAACCATGAAAAGGTCTCAATAGGGGTGTTGTGTGCATATGGGACATGAAAAGGCATAAAGTTGCCAAATTTATGCCATAGGTCATCTTAATAACTAACATCAAGCATATATGGGTGCTTACAATCCCCTTCGGTGTATTTCAACCGGATATCGGGTCTATTTCACCCTTACTACTACCACATACTATCATAACAAAGAATCACAAAGTCATCAAGAAAACATAGGCATAACTGAAAATTTTCATGAATACAACCATCATACTACAACATAAACTAGTGGGCCGACGATGATGCCTTTGACCCATAGATACAGTGAAGGAAACTCACCCCAGTCTGAAGGTACCATGTAACGCTCTGTTCCGAATTGACCTCTAGTATGAGGCGATGGCTCGAAGGTAGGTCATTATAAGGATTATGGCTCTTGGTAAGGTAATATCTAGCCCTTTTGGGTGGGGGTGATGTATTAGAAGTGATTCGGGTGTTCGGTTCGTGTTTTGAAGCCTAGGGGTATTTCGGTAAAATGATAGTTCGGGTTTTTGTGGAAAATGGACTTTTGTTCAGAAGGTATTTAGGAAGATATGAGTTGATATAAGTTTAGTGCTTCTCATTACCTTTCTGTTGATATAAGGATCATCGAAAACAGATTTATAACGAAGAAGTTATGACATTCGGAAGTTTAGTAGTTTCAGGCTTACCCGAGTACGTTGGGCGTACACAAGGAGTATGTTGGGCGTACTAGTGAAGAAGGCAGTATAATGGGCGTACTTTTGGAGTACGTTGGTGTGACAACCCGAAATTTTCATGTTCAATATATCAATTCTATCAAAGTTAGACTAATTTTGCTATCTTGTAGCACTATTTAGGGTCTATTGGAGTGTTCTAAACGTAATACAATCAAGGTAGGAGCTTAGAAATTGGTTAACTTGATGCATATCAATCAAAAACAGGCCAAACACTCCAACATATGGAGTGTGCGGCCATACACCCATTTCAGCCACACTCCTTCATATAAATAGAACACTTAGCCAATTTTGATCACTTTTCCACTCCTTCATGGCTAGAACTCGAGATTCTCTCAAGTACCATCCACATCTTCATCTTGATCTTCATTAAAGTAAGTAATTCTTCCTTTGAATAGTTGATACTTCAAATTATCTAGCCTTCTTCCCTATTATGATCCATGAAAAACACATTTTGGTGTTAGATCTCCAAGAACACACACTAAGTTTTGGACCATAATCACCCCTTTCAAGCCTCTATAACGTATGCACACTTATCACAACTAGTTATATACTAAGAACACTTGAAATTATGCATGAAAAACATCATTTCGTATGATCTTCAAGTGTGTGCGGCCGCACACACCTCCATGGTGGCCGTACACACCCTTTTTAGGTCCCCAAATGGCAACAAACTTCATTTAAGGCTAAGGAATGAAGAATGAAACCTTCCTAGATGTCCCTTATAGCTTAAAATCATGTTTTGACACATTCCATAAGGAGTGTGCAGCCGCACACACTTCCTGACCGCACACCCTGGCTGCACACACACATTTGTTGTGCATTTTGACCATACACTCCCTTGTATAGTCATATACCACTCATATACAATCTTATATGGTTGTAACACTTCATAATATGTGTTTACTAGTCCCTAAGGTGGTTCCAAATCAATAAATAGTTGTTACATACACTAATTGTATACATATATATGTCATTATATGGTTAATAGGATTCATTTGTGCTCAAGTCTTCAATTGACACTCAACTTCCTATATCGATCTTACATTCGACTTATTCACAGACAGGTGAGTTCATACCCCCTTAAACTTATATTTTAAATGATTTTAAATGCTTTCATGGGGGGGGGGGAATACAAGTAGAAAGCATGTTAGTTATAAGATCAATCACATGTGAGTTATAACTGTGTTTCAATCAAGGATTTCATATACTTCAAACTGTGTTTCAATACAAACTACTTTTAATTCGTTTTATAAATCGACATCAAGTCATTAGTTCTTCATTATTAAACTTTTCAAAGGTTTTACAAAATTACTTTTATACTTTTATATTGTCAAATGCATGCCCATGTATGTATAGTTGTATAAGTAATATTTGCTTTTAGTCAAAAACCGATCAAACCCGACTCATACTTACCCCATAAAAATTTCACAAAGTTCACATATACATACATAAAAAATGTTGCTAGGATAAAGTTGTTATTTATTTATTTTTGAAAAACTTAAGAGTTTTCTATAATAGTCCTTGTAATAAATCAAAAATGAATAAATAAAGATATATAATGCGGAAGCACTAAAAATGTACTTTATTTGTTTGAAGACAAAACATGAACATTAGGAGATAGTAAAGGGACTCGTATTGTAACTTAGACGAAACAAATCCATATACGATTACCAACAAATAAACCCTCCCACCTCTTCACAGAATCCTTGTTCAGCTTGAACGAACAATCACGACTCTAGCTTCGGCGCCACCTTCAAAGGAGACGGTTCTTGTTCCGGTGGTAACCAACTTCCTATTTTCTACTAACAAGTGATTCTTGATCTCTTCCTCTTTCCCTCTCAAACTCTAGATGTCCGATTTCATCTGCAACTTGTTAATTTCTATTGTGTCGAACATATAAAATGCGAAATTAATTTCATTTTTGATTTTCATTATTTTTCACTTTGTAGGGTTAATCGAAAGATTAACAATGAAACCCTGGATTTGAACTTTCATTATTTGGTGCCCTAGCTTACTAGATTCGTAACCCTAGGTTTCAATTTTAACATTGTAAATTATGTCTTGTGGTTAGTGTAAAGTATATTCGTGAATTAGGGTTTAACAATACAGGATTTAGGAACATCATGTAATTTCCTTTTTGAATCATGATGGAAATTTCTTACATTTTTTCAAACTGATGTTCTCGACACCATGGAAATTCCTTTTTGAATCCCAATTAGCCCAGGGTTTCTTAGTTTTGTTATATGTAGCTTCCTATCAATTTGCTTGAGGCAAATCAATTATATCAGTTTTTGCAATATCATGGCTTTCTAAATCTAAACATACAGTGTTAATGTGTTATTATTCTTTCCCTTTTCTGTTCATATGTGTATCAGTATGACAGTATCTTTCATATAGCTTACATGTTACAATGAATGACCTTTGTTTCTTTATTCATGTCATATAATATAATGTTATTCATTTATTTAATTTGGATTAATCATTGTAGTCAGAAGAATGCCTAAAGTGAAGACAAATCGTGTTAAATACCCAGAGGGATGGGAGCTCATAGAACCTACCCTTCGTGAATTACAAGGAAAAATGAGAGAAGGTATTTTGTTTCTTTATATTAATCTCCCATTTGTTACACTTACACATGACATGACACATGAAAATGACATAACAAGTTGTACTGCATAACTAAGACTGATGTCCTAGTGCAGAGACTTATGTGTAAAAGACGTAAATGCCCTTTTCATCCTCATTATTGAAAATAACTTTATCTTAACTAGGATTGAGACCGATGTCAATAGAACAAAACTTCACTTTTTTTGCCCCACTTAAAAAGGAGGGATAGAGACTTATGTGCAAAAGACGTAAATGCCCTTCTCATCCTCATTAGTGAAAATAGTTTTATCTTAATTAGGATTGAGACTGATGTCGATAGAACACTACTTCACTTTTTTATCCTACCCAAAAAGGAGGGACAAAGACTTATGTGCAAAAGACGTAAATGCCCTTCTCATCCTCATTATTGAAAATAACTTTATCTTAACTAGGATTGAGACTGATGTCAATAGAACAAAACTTCACTTTTTTGCCCCACTTAAAAAGGAGGGATAGAGACTTATGTGCAAAAGACGTAAATGCCCTTCTCAATCCTTATCATTGAAAATAGCTTTATCTTAACTAAGATTGAGACTTTGTCAACAGACCAAAACTTCACTTTTTTGTCCTACCCAAAAAAAGGAGGTACAGAGACCTATGTGCAAAAGATGTAAATGCCCTTCTCATCCTCATTATCGAGAACAACCCTATCTTTTCTTTAATTATTGGTTCTTATCCTCACCATTTTACTAATGGAAAAATTTGTCATGTATTTTTTTTAGCTGAGAATGATCCACATGATGGGAAGAGAAAATGTGAGACACTATGGCCTATTTTCAAAATTGCACACCAAAAGAGTCGTTACATATTTGACCTTTATCATCGAAGGAGAGAAATCTCAAAGGAATTGTTTGAATTTTGCTTGGATCAAGGGTATGCTGATCGTAATATCATTGCCAAGTGGAAAAAGGTGTGCAATTTTGCCTTGAATTCCATTTCATTTTCCTTCATATTAAAACATTTTATAAATGATTGTGATATATTTTGGTTGTGATTTTCATTTTCAGCCAGGATATGAACGACTTTGTTGTTTAAGATGCATTCAGCCACGTGATCATAACTTCCAAACAACATGCGTTTGTAGAGTCCCAAAGCATCTGAGAGAGGAAAAGGTTATAGAATGTGTGCATTGTGGCTGCAAAGGTTGTGCAAGTGGAGATTAACAACTTATCTTTCATTAAGTACAAACCGATGCTTAGTTGCTCACATTTTGTATTATGCTTGAATTTATTTAAACTTTATCACTTGTGATGATGTTAAGAAGGTGGTTAACCTTTTGGTATAAAAATGGTTGTCATGTATGCTAATGTGGTTGGAAATTAGTTTATGTATGGACAATAAATTACAAAGACAAAACAACAGTTGTACTCTATCTGGTATGTATTGGACTGAGACTGAAAACAACAGATAGAACTAGAACTTTTGTTGATATGACAAAAATTGCAATGTTTTGTCCAACTTATAAGGTAAAAGTAACTACATGTTTTTAACTCTATTGTTGGCTATATACATATATTAGTACAAGGAATAACAATGCATTTTTATTAATTTGTTATTATGAAATCCTACATTTTTTTTTGTTATACATCGAAAAATCTATTGTTATTGCAATGTCATCTAAATACAAACCAATTTTCACTAATAAGAAAAAGAATATAGGAATAGCAAAAAGAATACAATGATATGGGTATATGTTGAAAACATGAAATCTTATTTATGGATTTTCATCTTCTTACAACAAAAGTGTCTATAATAGTATAATACATAGATAAACAAAAATACATTGTGATATATTTCATTTGGTCTTTTATACATACAAATATACAAACTAGTAATATCCACCAACGCTTCTCCTTCCAACCGCTTTACTTCTACTCCTCGAAATATACGAATCAATTCTTATATTAATTTCTTCATGAAACTCATACATCTCATCTTCATAAATTGTACCCACCAACCCTAATGAGCTATAACTATAACGAACTTCATCAAGAGCAGAAACGTCAAATTCTTGACTTGAAGTACTCGTGATCTTTTCAGATGTTGATCTAAGAAGGACCGATGGATTACTTGGACAATTACTATGATTAATGGTCCAATAATTTGAACCAAACGTGGGTGGTGGTGGAGCTTGTGGTGGAAAGCCGCTCATGTTTCTAATCGGGCCAACTTTTTCATCAAGAATGACCATATTTTCGACATATACCGCTTTTGCTCTTCTGAATAATCTTCGTGGTGCACCTATGTATTTTGTTAGCTTCATTTCTTATGATCCATTCATATAAGTGTGGTAAAAGGTATAAATAGTAAGTTGGGTATTTTGGTAATTTTGTTATGGATGGAAAAATTTAAACGAGGGAATATTGAAGTTTGTTTGTAGGTGTGGGAGTAAGTTAAATATCCTTATCTCTTTGTTTTATAAAGATGCTGGTTCTCGAATTCTTGCTTAGTTTGACTCTTTTTGCTTCAATTTTTTTTATTAATTTTTTTTTATTATGGGTAAAATTTGCAAAATAGTTATGTATTTTGTCAATTTTTATTAATATAGACACTGTATTATATGTTTACTATAATAGCACAATATGTGCAATTTTTAATAATGGAATTCAAAACCAACAAATAGAGCAAGTTTTGACTTTTTAATGCCATGTCTTGTGATATATAACATTCCACGCATTTAAAACAAGATGGATCTCTAATTATTTTCGCAAAAATCTAGATATGTCTATGTTCATAATGAACAAAACAAAAATCCTAAATGTCCACATATGTTCATACATGCTCGTAACCGAATGTTTATATAAAAACTCGATATGAGTATTGTTTTGGTAAAAAATTAATAAACTAATATTCGACCAATATGTATGAGAGACTGTGGTGTTTGAGACAATAAATGTCGAATTATAATCAAAGTGAGACAAAATGCATTATAAGGAAAACCCTTGATCAATTATAAGATCTCCGGCATAAAATCTTAGGAGGTTATGATGATCATCTGCCTTGTTGTTTTTATTGATTTCAATATAAGATTACAAAGATGATGAAGATAATATGAGTACAAATGTAGTAGTAAAGCTAAATGTGTGTAATACGGATGTATTTATAGTTTAGACCAGTGTTGTAAAACTTACCAAATTGGTTGATTACTCGGCTGAGTACTCCCTAGTCGGCCCGTTACCGAGGCGAGTTATAGAATTTGAGTACTTCCCGATCCGTGCCTTATTGAAGCGAGTAATGTTGTAAAACCCGGTCAACTCAGCGATTAATATGTATAATATACTTAATGATTTATTATTTAACACATACACATGCGATTATTACTACATATATATCTTAAATTTTCATTAATTATTCACGAAGTGAAACCATTGTGTGTTGTCTAGTTTTTATGTATTCACATGTATCTAATTTTGTTATATATTTCAATCAACTTATGGCTTTAACTTATGATTTTGACATATATTATTTCCCTAAAAATATTTCTACATGAATTACCGAATCCGAGTACTCCTCAAGTACTCGCTACTTGGTAGGCAGCTGAACAGCGAACAAGTATCGAGTAGCGAGTTCTACAACCATGGTTTAGACTAAGTAACAATAAGTCTGATATTTCCTGGATCCTCTGGAATGAATATATGCACGTTGTGTGACTTGGTACTCCCACATCTTTAGCCTGGTTGAAACGATTCTTCATGGAGAATGGATCTTATGTTGACTAATTCTACACATGTGGGAAAAAGAAAGAAGAACATAACCATTAAAGGTGTTAAGAAATATTAATGTTAATAATCAAGATGCTGAGATATGATTAAGGATCCGGAAGCTTGAAAAATATTAAGGATCCTAAATATGATTCTGGAATCCTACCCCTAACAATTTCCCTCAAATTATATGTACGTAATATTAAGGTTAATTTTTGAATATTCAAAGGTATAATTTAAAAATAAAAAGATAAGGAATTTGAATTTCGAACCCTAATCGGATATGATTTATCCACTCCATAAGCATCATTACACAGTCAAATCTCTCTGTCTCTCTCTCTCTCTCTCTCTCTCTCTCTAGGTTAAATAGGGGTAATCGGCTCACGGTTTTCTTTATTTTCCCTAATTTTTCTCTTGATCGTCTCCGATCACCTTCATAGGTAATTTCTTTTTCCTTTTTTTCTTCGTTTTTCTCTTTATCTGATTATGGGCAAGAAGAAAATTCACTCTCGTACCAGCGTTACAGTCCCTTCTAAGAATGACTTCATTGATCAGGGGACCTGACCTATGATGAGGCTTGTTCCTTTGACGATGAAGACACACAGTTTCTCAAAGTTGACAAAACTTTTCCTTCTGATGTAATCTTTAGATCTTTTAAGGCTTCTATCAGCCCGGTTTTGTTTCTTCTTCTTGGGTATGCTTCCCTGAGTATCCTTTTTCTTTGGGTGTCAAATACCCTTTCTAAAGCATTGTTTCTGATTTCTTCCAAGCCATAAACCTTTCGTACATTCAAGCTATGTCAGTTATCTGGAGGATTTTATCTTGGATTGATTTAGTGAATCGCTATCATAACCTAGACATAGATCTTGCCGAGTTGTCTTATGTTTATGATCTTTCTACTTTTTGGATTTTTTTTTCTCAAAGTTAAAACCAATAAATCCCCTCTTATCCTAACATCAAAAGATAATGATGAATCCTGGAAAGAAAAATACTTTTTTTTGTGAGGCTTGACTTCATTGCCGGTAGAGATCTCTTACCCAAAGCTTGAGTTAAAAAGGGTAGGATTTATTTTTTAATCTTGAGGATCCAAGTATTTACTTTTCATATTTTGTTCATTTTGATGTAGGTTTCAATTTTGGAGAAGCTTTTTCCATTACTGAGGATACTAAGGATAAGATCGTGTGTTTCCTTTCTTTAATTGTAAACGTCAGATCATTCAAGTTTTAGTACCCTAGCCTTCAAGAAGGTTCATCTCTCACAGCTTCAATGGCCACCGATAAGCATCCTTCCTTCCTAGTGTATTTATTTGTTTTAAAAATAGGATCCTGAACTTATGAGGACCCTTCTCAATATGTTGAATCTAAGCTACTCGTTATAGTGCTCGATTTGATTTATCTGATCTTGAAGATGACATGTCTAGTGGCCTGCTTGTGGTGAAGAAGGAAAAGATACCTCCCTCTCTCCCTCCTAAGAGGACTCAACTTAATCTTACTGTGAAGACCCCAACACCTTGTAAGAGGAAATCATCTGATGCTTGGGATCTTGAGAATCTTGGAACATATGAGGCGCTAAAGAAGCTGATCACGTTCTCCCGATACGCAAGTACTATTGTGTTCTATCCATTTATTTATTTTTATTTTTTACTTATCGTTTCTCTTCTTATTTGGTTGATCACGTCTCTCACTCTAATGAGGATCTCAAGGCCAAGCTTGCTCAAATGGAGCACACTTTGAGAGAGCTTGAGGAGATCAAACAAGGAGCTCTTACAGAGGGTGGAGAATTTGTCCTAGGAGAAATGTAACGTCCCCAAAAATAAGACCCAAGACTTTTCATTTTTAAATTAATAAAATGGTAATCCAAAACATCATCATAAAATCAAGATGGATCACAGTGTATCACTACATCATAAAATATTAGAGTAAATCATAAAATGCGGAATAAGGTGGTGTATGCTCTGCAATCATCCCAGGCTCTTCCCTTTCGAACTAGAAGTACCTGAAACATAAATTGAAAATCGTAAGCACAAAACTTAGTGAGTTCCCAAAAATATTACATACCATACATAATAATCACATACTGGGCCCCCGTCATTCATCGGGACTCGCCCAACATCGGGTCTCTCCCGACATTGGGTCTCGCCCGGCATCGGGTCTTGCTCGACATCAAGCTTCGCTCGGTATACAAATCTGCCAGTCATCAGGCCCTGCCTGGCATCGGGCTCCGCCCGATACACATATAAACATATAATCATACGAATACATGTGATAATAACAAAGACAATAACATACAATATAGTTGTCGAGCCCCACCCAACATCAGGCCTTGTTAGGTAAGCACACCATCACATAACACATGCAAGATTCACACAAACATCTAGCACCCTAACATAATAAATAATAGGCCGGCATTAGTGCCTTCGACCTGCTAAACATAATGAGAAAACTCACCTCAAACTGGTGAATCGCTCAGATAAATCTGTGCTTGCTGGTCCGATAATCCCCATGCTATCATTACTAATAACATCCAATTAATAATTGAATTCCAATCTATAACCACAAGTCTAATCTATTAGGACCATAACTAGGGAAAAAGACCATATTACCCTTTACCTTACTTGGCCCAAGGCCAAGGTGTAACATCCCAAAATTCAAGACCAAAAATTTCATTTTTAATTTAATAATTCATAAAACAGATTATCAAAATCCCATATCATAAAAACCACAAGTCATATGTCTCAAAACAAGTCATAATAATGTCACAATATCATGGTGCGGAA